TCCCTGCCCAGCCAGCCCGTGGAGAGGCCCGGAGGGCGCTGATCCCTTTGGCGGGAGCTGCATGAGGACACCCGGGGACAGAATTTGGCCGAACACGGCAGGGGAGAGACTTTCACCTCCTTTGTGCTGCTGACTCCCATGGCTCAGCTCTGTCCCTTTGCCTGGCGCGGGAGGGGGTGAAGCCACTCCGGCTGTTACGCGGCATGACACGATGACAGTTCTTATACAGGCAACAGCACCTCTTCTTTTGGGACTTTTGGGCGATTTCCTTCCTTAGGCTGGGATCTGGACACTGTTGGCTTGGCACCCACACACAGACTTCCCTCCCCACTCCCCCAAACTGCTTTCTAATCCCACTAGCTGCTTTGCCTTTGGCTTGCTGGTTAACCTGCCTTTTCCCTCTCTTGGCCCACTGGGCTTCTGGATTTAATCTAAAACCTCTTCACATTTCCGTAGCTGAGAGGAACCGTGCGCCCGGCGGCAGTCTTCAAAGTGGATGATGATGTGAAGGTGCTGAGGAAGGCCATGAAGGGACTTGGTAAATAAGGCACCGGGGGCACTAGGACTGGTGGAAGGTGGAGAGGTCCCATCTCCTCTGTCTGCTGGGGAAACGTTCCACTCCCTCGTGGAGTCAAGAGCAGAAAACTGGCAAAGCACCGAGACCCTCTGAATAAAGATCTAGAAACACAGTGCTGCAGATCAACTAGAATAAAGAACTGTCTGCATGAGGCTGGAGTGGGAGCTACAGTAGAGTGGAAAGTGTATAATGAAGGGTTTACTCAGAGTTTGGCTTATTTCCATATCATGGATGGTCCCTCAACTGGTGGGCGTTGTTTTGCACGTTTTCTGCAAACATATTTCAGCCTCAAAGGCAAAGGTCTGCAACCTATGGCTCTCGAGCCAAATATGGCTCCGTATGGACCCAAATCTGGCCCTTTGTCATTCCCGAAATACATGCAATTTTTGAAAATTTTAAAAACGCGCGTACTCCTGTAGCTTGATTGCGCGTGTGAACCTGAATTTGACCAGTTATGATGTAAACGTCAAAGCAATGTGCAAAAAGATGCAGCAGCAGAAATCCCATTTGATAAAATCTGCGAGTACGTTTCGCAGCAGCAGAAATCCCATTTGATAAAATCTGCAAGTACAATGTTTCATTCATTGTACTATTAATCATCATGTCAATTATCAATAATATTAGGTTGGATATTTTCAGTCGTGCAAATGGGCATTCTTATGCTGGCTCTTCATGGACCACTTGTTCTGGATTTTGATGTAGATTGGCTCTCCGGTTTGAAAAGGTTGCCAACCCCTGCTCTCAGGCATCTCCAAGCTCTTCACAACAGTGACTAGAGATTTACAACAGTGTCAGAGATTTGCGCTTGTATGAGAGGGCACGAGAGTCATGTGATTTGTTTTTTTCTGTCCCCCAATTGGATGGCTTGACTTTTAGAAATGATTACCACCTCACATGAGTTTTATTTAGTTAGGGAACAAACTTTGATTCCTGAGATGATTCTGGCCAAGTTCACTGTTCTGGTCAATGCCACTTCCCACTGCTCCCGTTGGCTGTGGTTCGCCGTTCCTGGCCAATGGGAGCTGTGGTGGCTGTACCTGCAGATGCAAGGTAAATCACCTGTCTGGTGGTCACCCTGACAAGCCACATACGGCCCGCAGGTTGCCCACTGCTGCCCTTATGCAGGGTCCCCTGGTCTTCACATGGCCTGGTTTCTGTGCCATTGCAGGCACGGATGAAGGCGCCATCATCAATGTGGTCACGCAGAGGAGCAACGCCCAGAGACAGGAGATCCTGAAAACCTACAAGTCTCACTTTGGCAGGGTAATGAAGCTGGATCCTTCCCCCTATGCTTCCTGCCACGTTCTCTCCCTTTCTGCTCT